TACCCGGGGGGTACAAATCAAATTTTTATCACGTGAAATTTAGCGTACCCGGGTACCTTGCATGGAAAATTACGGTAATACGTAAAATATACAGTAAACATTATATTGTAATTATATATATATAATATATACTGTAATATATATACGTAGTATATTAAACAGAGTGTAAAAGCAAATTCTAGCTCTAAAACTAATCCACGGCGATTTTTTTACATCAGCCAATCAGATGAATGACATACAAATCGCTTTGTGAGAAGCATTCGATATTTTCGTGGTTTTCTTTTTAACTACGGACTCGAATATAATCTTAATGTTTAAACTAAGACCTTTATTCTTTGACGCGTGGTGTGAAAAATTGTTCATGATTCTTTTTCATTTTACAGAATTATAAAAATTTATTTATAAAATATTTTTTTTATTGCTATACAGTACATATATACAATATAATAAAATTTTGTAACAATCATTTTAAATAAAAACTATTTAAAAATAATCTACATGTATTAAATAATTTACATGTACATATGTACGTACGTGTCTACATAATTATCTTTCAATTAAATAAAATATAAATGTGCAAGAAAAATGAATATACATGTAATAATTAAAAATTCAGTAAATTATATATTGTAAAATATTTATACAAGAATTGAAACTTTTACGAAAAGTCCTTAATATTGCAAATTTAACTAGCCAATGCAACCAAACCAGGATTCGTCTTTTGTGTCAAAGACTCAATCGTGCGCTGTCTAATTCCGCCTGACACGGGAAGTATTGTATTACCCATTAAATATTGGTCAACTTCACGTGCTGCTTGTCGGCCTTCGTTAATTCCCCACACTATCAAACTTTGTCCTCGCCTGCAATCTCCTGCTGCAAAAATTCCAGGGGCTGCAGTCGAATATTTGCCTTTTGGAGTTTCAATATTTTTTCGCTGATCGATTTTTAGTCCTAAACTATTAAGTAGTTTATCTTCAGGACCTAAAAATCCCATTGCCAAAAATACTAAATCGGCTTGGAAAAACTGTTCAGTTCCTGCTACTTCTTTCATTACCCAGCGCCCTGACTCGTTTTTAGACCAATCTACTCGAATTGTATTTATACCTATTAAAAATATACATTAGCATTAATATTAGTAACAACAGTAATCGATATTCACCGTAAAAGATAATGTATGTACCTTTCACTTTCCCATTACCATCCGATACAAACTCTTTAGATAGCACGCTAAAATATACAATAAAAAAAGTCAAAAGCTTTTCACGCTTAAAAAAATACAACCAAATAAATAAAAAATATGTATATACCAATATTCGCGTGGATCTTTTCCTGATTGCATTTGCACTTCCGTATGACCATAGTCAAGCTGATTAAGAAAATGTTATTTAGACAATGTCACAAGGTTAATTACAAAGTCACTCTAAAGTGGCTTACCTTAAATACCCGCGGGAATTGTGGCCAAGGATTATCAGCAGCTCTTTTAAAATTTAAAGTAACCAATTAGCATTTGAAACTCTCATCAATACAATAATGAGAAACAGAATAAATACCTTTTTGCGGGTGGTTCTGGCAAGAGTTCAAAGTTTACAATAGATTTTGCACCTAAAAAATAACTTAGTTATATAAAAATGCCAAGATGAAATTAAACACGGATAGGTTCTGGTTAAATACTAACCGTGACGTAAAGCAGTGCCTAAAAGAATTATACATTGAAATAAAAATTAAGATAAATTTAATATGAGAAAAATTTTATAAAAAAAATCCACAATTCTTAATAAAATAATTACCAATACAGTCACATCCAGTATCACCACCACCAATAACAACAACTAATTAAGAAAATAATCGAGTCAGAATATTGGTAATTTGCTTTGTAAATTTCATCAGAAAACAATTTTTTTTTACCATGTTTGTCTTTTGCATCAATATATTTGTTATTCTGAAGATTTGAATCCAAAAGACTTTGTGTATTAAGTTGTAGGTATTCCATAGCAAAGTGAATACCATCCAAATTTCTATTCGGTATAGGTAAATCTCTTGGCCAAGTTGCTCCAGTAGCTACAACCAATGCGTCATTTTCTAATTTGACTTTTGTCGCATCAACATTTACTCCAACATGAGCATTTGCCACGAACTTAATTCCTTCTGCGGCTAAAAGATCAATTCTTCTTTGTACTACTTTTTTGTCAAGTTTCATATTAGGGATACCATACATTAAAAGTCCACCAAATCTGTCATTACGATCATAAACAGTAACAGTATGACCAGCTTTGTTTAATTGATCTGCAGCGGAGAGTCCGGCTGGGCCTGATCCGATAATAGCAACTTTCTTTCCAGTGCGAATTGCTGGTGGAGTAGGAACTATCCAACCCATTTCAAATCCTTTGTCGATAATAGCACATTCGATAGACTTAATACTAACAGGTAATTCATTTATTCCTAAGACACATGCACCTTCACATGGAGCTGGACATACTCGACCGGTAAATTCGGGAAAATTGTTCGTCATCATTAACCTATTTAGAGCATCATACCATTGATTCTTATATACAAGGTCATTCCATTTTGGAATAATATTTCCAATTGGACATCCAGAATCAGATTGACAAAATGGAACTCCACAATCCATACAACGAGCTGCTTGAACTTTAAGTCGTGGCTCGCTTAGTCGGGCATTAATTTCATTCCAATCTTTGACACGTGTAGCAGGATTTCGATAATTATCGACTTTTCGTTTATATTTCATGAATCCACGAATTTTATCAAGCTTCTTCTTGGCTAATTCTTCATCAACCATAGAATCTTCAATATCAACGACCGATGGTTCAGCTTCCTTTACAGAAATTTGCGGTAACGGTTGTTCTTTTTCTTTTTGAGCTTCTTCTGCCAACCGGTTTTGTTTTTCCAAAGCAATTTTATAATCTACTGGCATAACTTTAACGAAGCGTGGAAGTATTTGATTAAAGTTTTTCAATACACGATCAGCTATTTCTGAATTAGTATAATGACTATGATCTTCTATTAAATTACGTAAGAACGTAATTTCTTGTGGATCATTTACGGTTTCTAAATCAACCATTTCTGTATTACATCTAGTTTTAAAATCTTGTGAAATATCCAAGACATAAGCTATACCTCCACTCATACCAGCAGCAAAGTTACGTCCTGTTGGACCTAATACTACAACACGACCACCGGTCATATACTCACAACCGTGATCACCAACACCTTCAACAACAGAAATGGCACCAGAATTACGTACGCAGAAACGTTCAGCAGCAATTCCTCTGAAGAAAGCTTGACCAGAAGTTGCACCGTACAAACAAACATTTCCCACAATAATATTTTCTTCGGACTTGAAAGTTGAAACTTTTGGAGGATAGACTATAATACGGCCACCAGAAAGACCCTTACCCACATAATCATTTGCATCACCTTCTAATTCTAAAGTGACACCAGAGGCCAAAAAAGCACCAAATGATTGACCTGCAGAACCCTTAAGTTTTACATGAACAGTACCATCGGGTAAACCTTGTTCACCATGTGTTTTAGATATATGATTAGATAATGTAGTACCGAGCGCACGATCAGTATTAAGAATCTCGCAGGTAATGTCAACTTTTTCTTTCTTTTTCAACGCAGGTTCTGATTCGTCAATAAGTTTATTATCTAATCTAACATAAAGTTTATGATCTTGTTTTAAGACATTATGAGTAGCAACTCCAGGACGCAAGGTGAATGCTGGTGTTAAAATTGGAGTAAGATCGATATTTGCAGTCTTTGCATTTCGTAAAGATTCATTAACTTTAAGTTTATCGGTACGGCCGACCATGTCGTTAATTTTTCGGAAGCCAAGTTTGGCCATGATTTGCCTAAACTCCTCGGCCACATAATAAAAGAAGTTTATTACATGTTCGGGTTGACCATCAAATTTTTTACGAAGTTCAGGATCTTGAGTAGCAATACCAACTGGGCAAGTGTTCAAATGACATTTTCGCATCATTATACAACCAATAGCGATCAACGGAGCGGTTGCAAAACCCCACTCTTCAGCACCCAACAAACAAGCAATTGCTACATCACGTCCAGTTCGAAGTTGTCCATCAGTTTGGACAATGACACGACCACGAAGATCATTCAATACAAGAGTTTGATGTGTTTCGGCAAGACCCAATTCCCAAGGTAAACCAGCGTATTTAATACTCGTCCATCGAGAAGCACCAGTACCACCATCATGACCAGAAATTAATATATGGTCTGCTTTCGCTTTCGCGACTCCAGAAGCGACAATACCGACACCAACTTCTGATACTAATTTGACAGATACACGAGAACGAGGATTTGAGCATTTAAGATCATAAATAAGTTGTTTCAAATCTTCAATAGAATAAATATCGTGATGAGGAGGTGGACTAATTAAACCGACGCCGGGAGTAGATTTTCTTGTTTTCCCTATAGCGTCAGAAACTTTATGCCCTGGCAATTCACCACCTAATAATTTAATTGAAAAGAAAGTAATAGTAGATTAAATTTCAATTTAAACAAAAATCTCTGTGAAATAAATATATAAGGTTTAAATAATCACCTTCACCAGGTTTTGCACCTTGAGCCATTTTAATTTGTAACTCATCTGCGTCAGTAAGGTAATAGGAAGTGACACCAAAACGTCCAGAAGCGACCTGCTTAATGGCAGAACGCATAGAACCACCATTTGGTAAAGGTTTTGAACGATCAGGATCTTCACCACCTTCACCAGTATTTGATTTACCACCCAGACTATTCATAGCTAAAGCTAAAGTAGAATGAGATTCTTTTGATATTGAACCATAAGACATGGCACCAGTACAAAACCTTTTAACAATTTCAGTCCAAGGTTCAACTTGATCTAGCGGAATAGCTTTTGAATTATCAAAATCAAAGTCCAAAAGTCCGCGTAAAGTACAATTTTTTATTTGATCGTAAGCGTTACGAGCATAAGCATCATAAGCCGATTTATTTTTTGAACGGACTGCATCTTGAAGATTAGCAATACCAACCGGATCATTAATATGAGGCTCACCACCATCTCTCCAATGATATTCACCGGATTCTGGTAAACCTCGAGGAATAATTGTATCACGTGTAGGATAACCTCGTTCGTGGAAAGTAAGTGCATCCAACGCAAGAATATCAAACGTAGTTCCTATAAATATTATCATTATTCATATTATTATCATATATATAAATATATACAATAAAGAATACACAAAAAAATATAAATACCTTTTATTCTACTAGAAGTTCCGGCAAAACAACGAGCAATAACACTCTCATCTATACCGAGTGCTTCAAAAATTTGGGCACCTTTATAACTTTGTAAAGTTGATATTCCCATTTTTGACATAACTTTGAGAATACCGTTATTTATAGCCTTCTTATAATTATAAATAATTTTCTCAGAAGATAAATCACTCTTGATAGCATTTTCACGTTTAAGTTTAAAAATAGCTTCCATGACAAGGTATGGACAAATAGCATCAGCACCATAACCTAATAAGACGCAAATATGATGGACTTCACGTGCTTCAGCAGTCTCAACTATGAGGGCAATCCTTGAACGTTGTCTAATTCTAACAAGATGATGATGAACGCCACCAACAGCGATTAAGGAAGAGATTGCGACGCGTTCGGCATTTACGGCCGTATCAGAAAGAATGACAACTTTGTAACCTGCAGTAATAGCTTGAGAAACTTCGGAACAAATACGTTCCAAAGCAAGAAGATAACCAGGAATACCTTCTTGTTTAGGGAAAGTAATATCAATTGTAGCAACAGTCCAATCCGGTTGAACGCGTTCCATACACTTGATCGCGTTCAATTGATCAATTGAAAGTATAGGAGTTGGTAAAGAAAGTCTACAAGTTTGTTGTTCATCGATTTCTAAGATGTTGCCTTCCGGTCCAACATAACATTCAAGAGACATGACAATCTCTTCACGAATAGGATCTATTGGTGGATTTGTTACTTGAGCAAATAGTTGACGGAAATAATCATAAATTAAACGTGGTTGATCGGATAGACAAGCCAAAGGTGCATCATTGCCCATAGAACCTAGTGCTTCTTTACCATCACTCAACTAAAAAAATTCATATGAAATTAGAGTTAATATAATTCTTGTAAAAAAAAAAATTTGCAATAAGAACTGCAATAAGAATTGCAAAAAAAGAATTCCAATAAAGGATTATAAATAATAAATACCATGGGCAAAACTAAAAGATTTAATTGTTCGATAGTATAACCGAAAGCGTGTAATCTTGGATCATCAGATACAGGTATATCATCTAATTCAAACGAAATTCCATTACCAGTAGATTTTATTCTATCAATTATATTATCAAGAGTAATCATATTTTTATCTAACCAAGCACGAAAATTTGCTTTAGAGGCAACCGATAATTTTAATTCTTTATCATCTACAACACGACCTTCTTCAGTATCAACCAATAACATTTTTCCAGGTTGTAAACGACCTTTTTTGACAATACGTTCAGGTTCAATACCAATAGTACCCACTTCAGAAGCACAAATCATTAAGTCATCAGTGGTAATATAAACACGACAAGGACGAAGACCATTTCGGTCTAAACTAGCACCACAATAACGACCATCAGAGAAAGTAAATAAAGCAGGGCCATCCCAGGGTTCCATAAGACAAGCGGCCCATTGATAAAAAGCACGTTTTTCAGGTTCCATAGCAAAATTATTTTGCCAAGCTTCAGGAATCATCATCATAACAGCCTCAGGAAGAGTGACGACACCATTAATAACAAGTAATTCAAGTACGTTATCAAAAGCAGCAGAATCAGAGCCACCTTCCTCTATAATAGGATATAATAAGTCAAGATCTGCACCGAAAGAATCAGATTTCATAATTCCTTCACGAGCACGCATCCAATTTTTGTTTCCTCTCAAAGTATTAATTTCACCTATAATTTAATAAAAAAAATTTTTTTTTGAATTAAGATTGGAATTGAATTATTTAAAGAAATATTAAATAAATATATAATAAATGAGTAGATATAAGTAAATATATACAAGTAAATATAAATGTATATAGATGTATATAGATGTGTATAGGTAATTAAATATAATATATATGTACAATATACATATATATATATATTATATATATATATATATATATATATATATATATATATATGATAAACGAAAATAAAATAAAACGAACTAATAACATACATTATAAAGATGCCGCCCTAAACTATCCAGTACTTGGAAAAAACTTGGATAAACTGGCAATAGCTTAACTAAGTTTAACCAAATTTCTACATATGAGAATATTGACATTTCAGAAAAAAAATGGATAGGTTCGGGGCAATCTCGGGCAACATCTTTAAGTATATCTAGGCAAAAATAAATAAATAAATACCATTATGGGCACACCAACGCATAGGTTGAGCACGATCCCAAGAAGGAAAAGTATTTGTAGAGAAACGAGAATGAACCAGAGCAAAATGGGTTTTATATGCCACATTATTTAAATCGTGAAAATAATTGTAGACTTGTACAGGAGCCAATTGACCCTTATATATAATATTTTTGTTTGAAAGGGAACAAATATAAAACCATTTCTTAACGGTAATAGCATGAGTGGTTTGCTTGCGAAGAATATAAAGTTGACGAGAAAAATAAGCTTCATCGAAATTATCATCATTTGGAGAAGGAAGAGAATTGTTTGAAGAAGCAACAGGATCATAACTCGCCAAAGAAACAAAAGGTTGTAAAATGATTGGTTCCCGAGACTTCGCAGCGGGACCAAGAATAGAATCATTCTTTGGAACTTCACGCCAACCCAAAACTTTTAGGCTTAAACTTTTGGCGGTCTGTTCAAAAATCTGTTTACATTCTTCGGTAACGGCATGTTCAGGTTTAAAGAACACGTTACCAACAGCATATTGACCTTGAGGAGGTAAATGAATACCCAATCTAGTAGTTTCCTGATGAAAAAATTCGTGAGGAATTCCGGTCATGACACCAGCTCCATCACCATCTCTAGCATCAGATCCTACGGCGCCTCTATGAGTCATGTTACAGAGAACATCTCTGGCATCACTAAGGATCTTGTGAGAAGGAGCACCTCTAATATGAACGATAAAACCGACACCACATGAATCTTTTTCATAATCTGGATCATAAAGACCTTGTTTTGGAGGAAGGGCATTGGCCCAAGAGGTGTTATTAGAATCACGAAAAATAAAATCTTTTTGACTAATATACGCCGATTGATCGTTTTGCTGAATATTATTATGGTTTACAGAATCAACGATAGATACCATAATTATGTTACAAAGACCAGTCAATAGAAAAATTAATTGAAATAGACGTTCTTAATATTAACGAGAGGATGATAAGGGAAAGAAAATATGAAAAAAAAAATATATTACGTAAAAGAATAAAAGTTAAAATGAAAAGTAAGATTACTTTATATATCTACAAATTTTAAGTAGGAGCACACTTATCGTATATATTTATATACAATATATTTTTTTCACAAATTATTAGTAACTGAAAGGAAATTAATATATATTATTATCAATTGACAAAGGAATTAATATTTATTGTCTACGCGTAAGACAAGTAAATTAATTGATATAATCTATATTTTTTTTTATTGTATAATTTTATTTTTTTTGTTTTTAACACTTCACGAAAACTCAAGAGCAAAAAACAGAGTTATCGCAGAAAAAAAGCAAAATGGACGCTATATATTTTATTGATTTCTAAGATAAACTTTTTTCACAAGATGAAATGGAGTAACGTTTTTTTGCTGATTGATAAGATAACAATTAACAATCAATCTGCTGCTCGGACATAGTGCCAGGAGATGGCCGATAACAATCGATGGCTGCGTCACGTGAAAAAGAGAATTGAAAGAAGTCATCTGATCAATTGTGTATACAATAAAAAGAAATCTGTTTATTTACGACACGCATTATCAAACATATCAAAAAAATTTATTGTTTTCAGATGTGATACGAATACGATAAAAATCGGATGAAATAGGAATGTCTATAGGAGTTTTCGATATTCGGTGGGAACCGTAGGAACGCCTATAGGAGTTTTCGATATTCGGTGGGAACCGTAATAATCTTCGTTATATCGTTAGATGTATGTAATGTATGTAGTAAGTAAGACGTTGAGTGCCTTATATATTGTCTAATGTATTCATCTTGCATTTATCTAACGTATTTATATATTACATCATATTATTTAAGGAAAATTCTGTCAAAAATTTCAAAAGTTCATTTAGTTTTAATGTATGTAAATATTCACGTTTTTTACACAAATTTAATATTGAAAAATTGCTGAATTTCAAATCTAAAATAATTATATCTGTCGATTAGATTTAGATTTTCCTTTCTTGGTATTGAAGTGTATGCATTATCTAACTTTCGTAATTACTGTAATATCATAATTGTTCTAACCGCCCTAACTTCGTAATTGCTTAGCCTTGTGATTGCCGCAACTTTCGTAAGTCATAGTTTGGAGTTATAAAATGACGTTCTTTAATATTTGAAGATTTGACCGATAAAAAATTTGGTCGACAAAAATTATGTTCCACTGGATATCTATTTATATTTTGTTATATATTTTATTACATAACAATTTTAATTTGGACTTCCTAAATGCATCTACTATGTTGCATATCTGTACCATCATTATTAGTTACTCAAGATCTCATTCAAGTTTTTATCAATCTAAAAAACCACGCGACCAAAACTTACTTCTTTTTTGATTAAACAAATTGTTGATCATTTATTCTGCTTTTTTTTCTTTCTCGTGATAAAGATAATTCTTCTAAATGCAGTAATGAATCTACTCAATGATAGATAACTATCAGTTCTAGATGGGATGCACAATAAAAAAAAGTTATCGTGTGAAACATATTCCATACATGGAGTGATAAGATATAATAGATAAATGTCAATTAACCTTCACCGGAAAAAAACGGAGCTGTTACGTATTTATAAACAAACATCACTTTATCCCCGCGTTTTTAAAATCAAATTTGGGTTGAAACTAATAAAAAAATACTAATTTGATTCATATCCGATGTTACTCTTCTTTTTTATAGATATCACAAGACCATCTTCTTCCAAGATTTCCAAGATTCTGAATCAACTTTTATTAAAATTTCGTTTTTTATTATTCGATTTGAGCATTCGTACTACCACGTGTTATAAATCCATGCTTGGTTAATCTTGATCACTCGCCGGAAAATTCTAAATACCCGACATTATTTCACATGTTATACAGTAATATATATAAGTATATATCTCTGTTTTAGTACATATTCGGTACCGACTACCTTTAAATTTTCAAAAATCTAAAAAATTTGTTAAAATCGGATTATCCAGTATATACGTATTGTAAATTTATTATATAAAAAATTATTTTAATTTATTTAAAAAATATACTGTAATATATTAAATTTTTTAATTTTAAAACATATATGGTATATATATATATATATATTGCTATACTGTATTAGTATATTTTTATATATGTTATATATTTTAATATTATACGGAATATTTTTATACGTAGCCGCACTCTTTGTAATTATTATATGAAATATATATAATCTATATATCGGTATTGCAATATTAGAGTTATGCAAACATTAGATGTTCGTATAACATTTTGTTATTTCAGTATTTGCATACATTATCTGCTATATCAGATATAGCCCATTGTTCAAGATTATTATTACATACTAAAGTTTCACAGTAAATATAAACAAGGTCATGAGGCAAAGCGTTAAATAATAATACATTGATAATTGGGGGTTGAAACAATAGAAACCAAGCAAATAATTTTTAATAAGTTTTTTAAAATCTTTAAACTAGGATAACTTAACAAAAACTTAATCAAATTTATAAATTTTTTTTAAATTAATTCTACAAGTTAATAAAAATTATTTTAAAAAATTTTTATTAAATTTGGTCAAGGTTTCATTAAGTTATTCTTGTTTAAAGTTATAAAAAA